GCTTTTTCATGCGTGTATCTCACTCATCTGAACACATAGAATGCTCAAAATTTTATCGATAGTGAGAGATGATGAGATGAATTAAATAAAAAAAAAATTTTAGGCATACAACAAACCACTACGGATTTATAGCAGAAACGGTACTAAACAACCAATTGTACAATTAATATACGATTCACTCAAATATGTCCAAAATTATAAAAATGTTTTATTTTTACCGTTTTTTGCTCAATTGGAATAATCAGTTGATTCAATAACTAGAAGAGTTTCTAAGTTTAAGCGATGTGTACATTTACTGATATGGGAAAAAACAGAATTCTATAAAAGCAAATTCGCCGGTTCAATGAGAAACTTATTCGTGTAGAGAGAAATTTTCTAGGCAAAATGGGACCACTCGAAGCACTACATGACATTCTTACGTTAAATAACATTCATTTTACGAACGGTTCCAATGACAGTGTTTGGTGTTGGTTTTCTGTTGATTTTGACGGGCTGGAACTTTTCTTAAAATGAATGCAATTTAATGTAGAATGTTATGTAGTGCTCCGAGTGATCTCATTATCTAGAAAATTTTTCTCTACACGAATAAATTTCTCATTGAACTGGCGAACTTGCTTTTCTAGAATTCTGTTTTTTTAGAAATGTCATATCAGTAAATGTTAACAGAACTTGCACACACATTGTATGATGTAATACACAGAGAACTAACGGAACTTAATCAATATGAAAATATATACACTTATTCTTGATAAGAAGAAATGCTTAGATACTGTTTTAAAACATACTTGAGAGAGATGCCATCCGTCATGAGTAAAAAAAGTAAACGTTATTGATTATCCTACACATTTTACTTTTTTTTCAAATATTTAACTAGTTTGTTTTAAATTTTCATTCATTGTAAAAAAATTGTTAACTATTTTATCATTTACAGACAGGAAATTACTCTACTCATAAGACTGTTAATACATAAAACTCAATAATGCATTCAATTTTGATATATATATCTTTATTTCAATACTGTACTTTTATAAAGTGTGTTTAATGACAATTTTAATCATTTTTATCTGATATGTTCGTTTTACCTTTTATTCATCATGTAAGTGTACTCTCTTTTTTGATGAAAAATAAAAAACAATAAAAAATACACAATTACATAGTGCATAACAATAAAAAAACAATTTATCATTAAAGAATAAAAACTACACTGACAAATGTTTTGATAATTTTCCTTTTAAATTTTCATCTAAATGATTGACAACTTGAACGAATGCAGCTGTATGTGATAGATGTATTGCGCGAAGATATTCGCGAACAACTTGAACAGTATCTTAAAAAGATAGAAAATAAAATAAATGATTATTTTACTAAAAAAAATTTTAGCGAATAGTACCAGAATTCAAGCGACTATCATCGATAACATTGGCAGCCATTTCAATTGATTTTGGTAGATAAAGTTCAATCTAAAAAAGAGTCATTAATTACGAATACAATAAGAATACAAAACCAAATGATAATTATTATTACTTGATTAAAGTGCTGCTGATATAACAGGGTTAAACATAAAAATATTGAACCAACTTCAGCATAATCTTCACGAATAGGTAAATATTGAAATAGGACAGGTAATACCTAGACATATTTATATTATATTATGGTATTATATTGTTATGATTAACTTACTGCATTCAATGGCACATGACTAGTTGAAACTAACATCATTCGACAAAGACAACTACAGATATTATCAATGGCACGTAAATTTTTTTCATTAATCAATAAAGATGATAAACGATTTAAGATTGTTTCATATTGTGGAAAAAGTTGTTGTTTAGCAGTTAAACATAACACACCCATACCAAATACAGAATTTGTTCGAACTTCTGAATCTTGATCAGGAAGATATTCATAAAACACTAATTAGAAAATAGATATAAGTCTTCAATTGAACAAGAAGAATACTGATTAAACTCACTGTGATAAAGTGACTGTATATATGGACGTACAACATCTTCTGTCATATTTTGAACTGTTTCAGCCAATACTCCAATGACAAATGAACGTTCGGAAACGGCTGAATGTTGTTTCTATAATGAAAAGTATACTTACACATCTGATAAATATAATACATCGATTATGAGAATACATACTAAACGTCGTTGTAGTTTAGGAATAACTGTAGCTAAATACTGTGGAAAAAACGGAAGTTTTCCCTGACATGCAATAGCAGTTATTGCTGGCAACAAATCTCCACCCGTTTCAATTAACATGGCATCATACTCAGCATCATTTTTTCCATCAGATTCATCCTCATCGTTATCTTCTTTTTGACAAGTAGTCTAAACATAAAAACAGAGTTAGTTTTATTATTACAACAAAAAAGAAATAATATACTTTGTAGGATAAAACATTTTGTGTACAGCGTGCTGCTTTCTCTAATAATCCTTCATGTTTTAACATGTATGCTTTTAATTCTTCAAATATAGTTTTAATTGTGTCAAGTGCTACTTGAGCGAGTGTACGACTTCGCGTTGTATCAACTGTTATACATAAACATGGAATATATTCATTTAACAGTTCATCTAATTCTAAAAAAAAGAAATAAACATCATTTATACTATTAAGTCACTTACAAGGGGAAAATTCTCATGTACGATTTTGATGTATTCTTGAAACATACATGATTACGAGTAGTTTTTGATAGTGGTCACGAATCTAGTATCCATTCGTCCCCATACAATCTTTCAGAATTCTGTTTTAATTTGCGATCGCAAGAAATCTATTATGAACTTTTGTCTGGACAACAACACAGTTTGATGGTGTTAGATTGTAAAGCATGTCAAGTTACCGACGTTGAAAAATTTTAAGAACGAACGAGAACGTGTTCGATGAGTTATAAATTTATATTAGAAGAATATCCCCGTCATCCTTATTTTTCCTAAATAAAAAGCTAAAATTTTGTGAAAACTTCTTAGGACTTGTCCGTTTTCCGAACGAAAAGGAAGTTTGAAGTATAAAGTTTATATACGAGGATTTTTGTGGTCTGCAGAGGATTTTTTGTCAGTAGTTGTAAACACACAATTAAGTAGCATTCCAGTAGCTGTAAACTTTCGGGGTGAAACTGTGATTGACCAAATTTCAATATAAATTTTGTGTTAGCTACTGAAATGCGTGTTTACAGCTACTGAATGCACTAGTAACAGACAGTGCATTATTGGTCTGATGTTATTAGACGCCAGTTTTAAAAATTATTAGGATATATTATTACATGTTCTATGTTATACTCCAACAGTTCAACAGGAAGTTTTCACATTTTTTTCTTCATAGAAGCAAGGCTGACAAGCTTTTTATAACTCATCGAACACGATAACTTGACATGATTTACAATCTAACACCATCAAAATTGGTCCAGACAAAAGTTCATGGTAGATTTCTTGAGATCGTAAATTAAAACAGAATTCTGAAAGGTTGTATGCGGACGAATGGATACTAGATTCGTGACCACTATCAAAAACTACTCGTAATCATGTATGTTTCGAGCATAAATCAAAATGGCAAATTTAGGATATCCTTGATAATAAATCCTTGATCTTACTTACTATCTTCTAAAATCTTTTTTTCATCATGACTTAATATCATTTTATGTACTGAACATATAATTTGACCAATAGCCATCATTGCATTTTGAGAACAATGAATATTTGGAAAATCGATCATTGATTTTACTTCTTGACAACTCTCGTTTAAATAAGGCCAAAATGCAATCCTTATAAAAACAATCACAAACATCAGATGTTTTCAATGAGTCAAATAGATCTGTTTGAGCTTACGGGCAATTTTCAGCTAAATCACCTAATGCTTCAATTGCAGATGCCTTCTCCTCAACGGCAACATTCTCCACTGATAAACTAGAAAAAGAGAGAAAAATATAAATAAAAATACTAAATAAAACGCAGTGACAAATTACCGTTCGTCATCATCATCATCATCATCATCATCGTTATCAGAATCGCCAACACCATTTGTTGTTCCATTATCAATATCTACTTCTTCTAACTCGACGTCCCATTCTAACTGACGCTTTTCAGTTTTAGATGAATCCTTGAACGAAGATAACAATCAATAAAAAAAACGATTATCAAGAGAAACAATATGAGGTCATACTTCAATCCATTCTGTTGATTTGATTGATTCGAGCAAAAATTTGATAATTTTGCTTACATAAGCAGAATTTAAATCACTTTTCAACAGATGACTAGCAGCACCACACAAAGAAAACCTAAAGACCAAGCATTATAACTGTTATTATCATGAACGGTTAACACAAGCCCAAAAAATGATAGAAATAAATTTGTTATTATTGCCCGGTTAAAAAAAGAATAATTCATGTCCATTTTTGACTGATTCATGTCTATTTTATTATGTACCATATAATGGAATTTAATAGAACTTTTAAAACCAAAATAAAATACTTGAGTTTTTCGAAAAGATTTTTTGATCTTCCAAAGATCTTCCAGAGCACAAGAATATTTTATAAGACTCGACGATATTGTGCAGATAGACAGAATAGAGTCTATCGTTATATTCTGAGATAGTCTGGATCGGTTTTAATTGAGTTATGAATTTTCAAATTTACGTAGTAAGATGGGTTATTTTATATAATATAGGTTTTCACTAGATTTTTGAATTTTTTCGGAAAACAAATATTGCCACTAGACTCCGTGTGGCCGATAGACTATCTTTCAATCATTCTCGGAATTATCACACTTAAGGGAATATCAACCCTAGGGCTCACAGCAAATCCGATAACCTACTCAACTATGAAAGATTAAGAGGTCGCTTGGATCTCATTTTGACGAGGACACTTTCTTCTATCTATCAATGTAAAAAATCAACAGTTTGATGTTTTAAAATTTTTCCACTGTGCACGAGTTCTGCAGAAATCCCTTGAAAAAACCGTTTTTGAAAAAGTCTTTAAAAAGGTTTCCGCTTGTAAAAAGATGCTCCATAATCTCCGCTTTCCATATCAGAAAATCTCAGCTCTCTAGCTTTCACCATTCAAAAGTCAGTCAAAAAATAGACATGAATTATTCGTTTTTTAAACGGACAAAAGTTATTATATAGTGGAAAAGGTAAATGCAAGATTCTCTTAAGAAAACACGATAAATCGGTGTAATCCATAAAATTATGAAAATGAAGCCCCAAAATTTGATAAACAAACGAACACTTACACAGCAGCACGAAATTCAGGCTCATCAATCTCATGAAAGAGATTTAATGAAAAATCGAGAGCTTGAAATATTAAAGCTTTACAATGATCAGTACCAACAGAACGGCATAACGAAGCTAACGTATCTGAAGTAAAAAGTATGAGAAATAAGACAACAGAACTACAAATAAACAGCAAACAGATGAGCTGCTATTCGTTTACTCACTCAATGATGATGAGAACATGGACATTGTCTCATCAGTTGGTTTCTGATTTAAATTCGGTATTAGCTGTTGAAGAACAACATCAAAATATGGCACAAATTTTTGTTTGAATACAACACCTATAAGAAAGAAAAATGTATTACGCTTGAAATAAGGCGCCAGTAATTCGAAGTTGAAGCACTATTTTATTTTTGACTTATTTATACATAGTTGGTCGAGCTCTACAAGAATATGTAAGTTTTAGCTTTCCAAACATAAGTTTGGATGGGAAAATTTTGAAAATACTAGAAAGACCTTAAATATCGAAAAACAGCTACGCAGCTACGAAAAATTTGAATAGTTTTGTCAAATTTCATTTTGAAACTCTCGAACTTATTTTTTCTGATTCAGCACATGAAACGCAGTCTTGGAACTTCTCCATCTGTATCATGGTCAAAAATTGAGTCGACTAATGTGTATTTCTATCCTATCCGACAACATTAACGTTTTTCGATTTTTCACGTTGAAAAATTATCGAGGTTTTCTCTAAAAAATGAAAATCAAGTAAAAATTTCGAAATATCGACTCAGTTTTTTGTCCTGATCCTGAATATGATATTTTTATTACATAAAAATTGGGATCTGATGAAGAAAATTGAGAATTATGGGCAGAATTCTGACTTTCTCGCCTCTGATTTAGAAAAAATGACTTTTCTCAGAATGAAAAGAAACTTCAAGAAAAGCGATTTATATCTTTATTCTGCGTCTGATGGCGGTTCAAATGGCAGTATTTTCAAAAAATTTCCATCAAAATCTATGTTTGGAAAGCTAAAACTTACATAGCTCGACGAGCTCTAATCAACCATGATAAGTCAAAAATAAAATAGTGCTTCAAATTCGAATTACTGGCTCCTAACATAAATTTATATCTTACCAATTGATGGATAAACAGATAAAACAAGTTCTTTAATTTTTTGATTTTTCGTTATGGAATAAACATGAAACAAAACTTGCATTAACTCAACTAATGACGTTTCATGTTCTTCGTCTGAAAGAACATAAACATCTCATTTATTGGAAAAAAAGAAGTTTAGCTACCATACCAAGAATTCCAACAAGTTCTTCGACAGCATAATAAATTCGAATCACTTTTAAATTATGTTTATCTATGTTTTCTTGTTTTAACATTAATTTCATTAGAATAGGCAAAAGTGTTTGACAATGTTTTGTAATTTCACCCTAAAATATATTAAAAAAAATTATAAATTATAGAAATTAAATTATAAAATAATAAGTTTCATTAAATTAACTACCTCCATAACACTAAATGTTTCACCTAACGCCAATAATGCCGCACTAGACACTTCTTGAGATACATCTTCAAGACCCACTTTCAATGCTGTCATATAAGGTTCCAAATAGCTAGGAAAACAATCAAGTGATCAATACAATGATCATGATGTATATTTGTGATGTATTACTTACTTGTTGTTGATATAATCACAGCATCCATCAATAATACCAGAAAGAACATAATAAGCTGATTTTCGTTCATTTGGTTCAGAACTTTTTAACATTGGTTCAACTTGTGAAATCTATAAATTCATCAAAAACAATAATTTTCAAATTCTAACAAAGTATAAAATTATTTACTTACAACAATGGGCACAAATTTATCTGCTGGTAAATTATAACTCATTGCTTCAAGAACATGATTCGCTCCTGATACGACAACAGGTTCATTATCGTCTTGTTCATCGATATTATTATACTCTGTTAAACTATCCATTTGTGTTGAACACATAATTTTTAATAATGTGTTTATTATTGGTGCAAATAAATGTTCATGTTTTAATAATGTCTAAAATATAAATTATTATTTGAACATTTCTAGAAAACTAATGAATAATAAATACCTTTTTTTTTTGACGACATATTTCAGCAAGAAGATGTAAACTATTATAACGAACAGACTCTAAAACATCATTGCTACCAGCTATCTAAAACACAAAAAAGTGAATAATTACACAAATCACTAATTAATTATCTACTATTTCTTACTTGTAAACAAAGATTCATAATATTTATTAAATGTGGACCAATAACAGGTAATTCACAATCGAGTAATGCCTCATAAAGATCAAATAAATTTGTAGCATTTTCTTTCTAAAACAAAACAAAAAAAATTGTAAACGTAACACACTTATGTTACTAGAAATTTACAATTGATTTGTTAAAATTTGTAAAAAAATACCTTTAAAGTTGTAAATAAATATTGAATAGTATCAGTGGCTACTGGTACAAGATCAATAACTGTTTGAACATGTTGTTTCTGATGTAAATGTTTAACTAAATTAGTTAATATTATTAATGATTGTTCACAAATGACGGTTGATGAACGATTTTTCAACATATTAGTAACAAGATTAAAGACACCGGGCCAATGTTGACATAAAAATTCACCACAAAATAAAGCTAATGTGGCAAACAGACATAATCCTAATTCAACTTGTTTTATATCGGATGATTGAACAAGTGTACCAGCTAATTGTAATAATTCATCCCATTTTGATGTTTGTGTATGTTTCTTTTTTTTTTTAACATTTAAATCTTCTTCAGCTATTGTACCAATTAATTCAAATAAAGATTTTTTAATACGTTCATTTTGTTCATGTTGTACATGTTCTAACAGTAATTGTTTTAATGTTTGACGTATTTCTAATGAAACAGTAGATAATGATGATTTTAATTTACGACGTAATAAAGTAGATGCTAATATTCGTATTTGTTCATTGTGTTCAGAACGAAGAATATGAAATAAATTTAATAAAAATTCATTTGTTAATGATAATGATTGAAGTTCTTTTGTGGCATGTTTAATTTTATCAGTATCAGGTAGTGTCAACTGTTCTAGTAACGAGTTCAATCGTTGTTGTTGTTGTTGTTGTTGTTCGTGCTGTTGTCGATTCATGACTACTTCCTGATATTATTTATCTAGAAAAAGAATCAAACTCATGTTCACGAACAAAATAGATTAGAAACGAATTGTTTCATGAATGAAAGGTCGAATCAAATGTGAAATGATAAATATTTAGTTACAACATAAGTAAAATCGATTGTACAACTTGAATTGTTATGGAGAACATTTTTGACACAGAATAGTGGATTTAATTTTACAATTTACTGCAAAGCTATAAGTTCATATGTTCAAATCTCTATTCATACAAAATTAATGTTTGTATTTTTCGATAGTTTTAGTTTAGAATACTATGATGAACTATTTTTCCGCTTGTATTCTGAAAGAATAAAAAGCTTATATCAACATAAATGAGAGAATATACAAATCTTTGTTTTTGACTATATTCTTTATTAAGAATAAACAATTAAAATAATAACAATCAATTACACTTTTTTTTCTGCATATTCTCATAAATCTTGGCTAAACATTCAATAAAAATTAAAAAAAATTAAAATAAATGAAAGAAACAACAACAAGAACATTCTCATCAGACTTATTTATCATCTTTTTGGACTTGTTGCTGTTGTTGATATTGGAGATGATTTTTTTCAAGCAATGAAAGAGAAGAAGATGCAGGATTAGTTAGAGTTGAAAACGGAATATTTATAATAAATGGTGTTAGTATTGATTGTTCTGTTGACACGGTTGATTTTTTTTTTCAATGTGTCCATATTTGTTTTAAAGAGTTGTTAAATAAACTTACAAAATAGTGATCACAGTGGCAAGATCTCTTATTCATCATGTTTCAAAATTTTGTTTTACTTTAAGGAAATTTTTACTATTAAACAGAAAAAAACACAATGTGTAGAAAAAATGTAAAACAAAATAAACGTAACATTTTTACCTATTTTTAATCAATGCAAAAAAATCATAGGTTTACCAAGATAGTCGAAGAAGAAGAAGAAGCAAAACATCAAGTAGAAATGTAAACACGTATTGGATAGCACCTTGGACAAAGAATTTGCAAAGATTAAACGTTAGACATGTGTTATAAAAAAAAAAATAATAATAAAATAAAATCCAAATAGTCGAAGGCAAAAATTTTAGCATTAAGAAATAAAAAACGAAACAAATGTATGGGCTCAAAAATAGCGTTTTTCTAGATGCAATCAATAACAAAGCACACGATTAATATCAATCGGTATTAAAATAAAATATAAATTTAAATGACTATCATTCACCAATCTTTTCCTATGACTAATGTCCATTCCCATTCGGCAAATAAATTTTTATCATCATCACATATTTTTGATTTAACAGAAAATGATCCACGTGATAACTGAAATATAAAAAATAAACAATAAAAGAACTATATAATGAAACTATCAATTGATCGCTTACCACTCCGTTTGGTGCCACTTCAATCTCACCTGGAAGAAAAATAGAAAAAGAAGAAATATTAAATATATTCATTGATACGTGGTAAGATAGTTTATAAATAAGAATAAAATTGTACAAACATACCAAGATATGTTTGTAGATCTGGACTAGGTGCACGACTTCCTAAAATAAATGATATCGATTTATTTTTATGTTTCAGTTAAACTGTTGAGAAAATTAATTACCAATCATATATTTCATTCTATCAACAATAATTTTGGTTTTTTTAATTTTTTGTAAAAAACTTAAACCGGTAACAATATCTCGTTGTACATAATATTCTAATTGAATTCGATATGATTCTCCTTCTTTTATGTTTACAATACGTTTTGCATGAGTTTGTCGAATTTGTTCAACTGATCCATGTAAATCAAAGATAACATTTGGTTTATGATTTTCAAATAATAGACTAATTCGTACAGGTATAACACAACGTTGATCATTTGAATCAATAATTGTATGTAATTTTTGTACATCATCGCCTAAAAGTTGTTTTTTATAACGATCTAATGATAAATCATCGGCATCTTTAGAAATTATTGTTGATAAATCAACTTTTTGTGGTGGTTTATAACGCATTCCTGTTGAAGTATCATCATCTGAATCATGATCATGAGTGGTTGATGACTGTTGATCACCGGATGCCATTTATTTTTCCTATTCAATTGAATCTACAATATCATTATAAAATGACTAAAAAAAGAACATCATAAACACAAAAATTGACAGATTAATGCACCAGATATGAATTTTAAACGATAAAAGAAAGAAAAATTCAATATTTAACTTGAAAATTACCATGATATATATATATATATATATCTGTATTTGAAAATGAACGAATTGAGAAAAATAATTCAATGAAAACTAGTTTTCATCAAAATCACGTGATGTGAAACACGTGTGAAATAACGAGAGAAAAGGAAATAAGTAATAAAAACCAATTATTTCTAGATGAAACAAGATAGATGCATCTGTCAATCGGTAATGAACTTTGTTCTAATGAGTAAATAGTAGAAAAAACATGTTCACGTAAATGAACAAAAATGAAAGATATACTTTGATAAGACTCTTCAATACGAACTGCACTTCTGGAAGTATATCTGACTAAACTTAAGTTGAAAGATGAAACTAATATAACTGTTTACTTTGAAAATTCAATGTTAAATTCTATTTAATCAAATAATTGTCTATGGAATACTGTTATTGTCATTTTGTGCTGTTTTAAACTGTTTCTTTGAAGATTTTTGATGAGAAATAAATTTTTTTTTTGTCTCAATGACAAAAAGCAAATATTTTATTTTATGTTTAAGCTTTTCAAGTAATTTTCGATGATCGTTGCTAGATTTTTCTATAAAATTTACAGAAAAGAGAAAAATTCGAGAAAAGAAAGAACGAGAATTTCAATTTAAAAAAAGAATAAATCCAAAAAACCAGAATTAATATTGGAAAAAGCAACAATCATGCGTATGGGTCTAATAAAGATACTAATATGTCAACAATGCATTCCAGAAACTATAGTTTGTATTAACGAGAAAAAAAACACACACACAGAATGTTTCTGTATTATGTTTAATAAGAATTGTTATCTCATCATCTCTAAGATCATTAACATTTCTAGTTCTCTGTTTTATTCTTATTTGTATGAAAACTATACTATTACTGTGATATAGAAGATTGTTTTTGTTCTCAACATGAATTCGAGAGTGTTTCTATTCTTTCACATACGTTTTTCTCTCTTTTCTTCATCTGTTCTACATAGATATGAAAGACTAAATGACAATTGTACAAGGAAAAAAAGGAAAAGGCCATAAAAGATATTGTACATGAGAAGTGAAGAAATCTTCTGATATAAACTATAGTCTATATCAAAATTAACCTATAAGAGTTTAGTGTATACGCATGTAAATGTGTGAAGAGACACAAACAGAATTCACACGTACATGCACACACACACACGCACACAGTTTAAACTACCAGTTTTCCACTGTATCGTACAGAGGTATAGAATCTACTCGCAAATTTGAAAATTTTCTACGAACGGTAAAAGTTTTGAAAAATTTCCACATCTGAAATTTAGAAAAAGGCTTTTATCAGTTTATTTCTTATTATTTGGAAATTTCTTAAATCTTCCTATGTGGAAAAATTCCACCTTTTTTCCGTTGGAAAATTTTTCAAAAATTTCCACAGCTTTCAAAACTTTTCCACGTATGTGCACACGGATAGATTCTGCACCTCTGGCATTGTATCCTTTTGAAGTTCGAAGATATTTGTAGTCTAAACTATGTATAGTAATATTCTCTAGTTTGTTGACAACATGATGACATTTTTATGTATATTTGTATATTGCTGGGGCAAAGTATCTAATCTCAAAATAATATCTGTTCCATTCATTATAACTAATATAACTGAGAAAATATATATGCTCAAAAAGATGACGTATAAGACTATAAAAAATGGATATCGTTAAGATGAAGAGTATCGGTCTCGGAAACCACGTTAAAAAAGATTTATGTTGGCATGATTCGGTCATTTTTATTTTAAAAATGGAAAGAATTGTATAAATAGAAAAAAAAAGAAGTATAGAGATAACTACACACATACACACTGTTTATTAGTATGGTTTTATAAACAATAGTGATATTCACAACGACGAATAAAATTGTGTGACAGATGTTAACATACAAAAGCAGAACAAAAAAAAACGAACAAATATCAATAACTAGGTGGGCTTGAATATGAAACAGGGCAAGATCTTATACAATACAAATAACCACCGGGAAAGATCAAAAAGAAAGATTCAAGAATAATAAACGATATAAATATATATATGTACAAAATATTTGAATGGATTTTGTTCGAGAGCAGAAGAAAAACGAACAAATAAAAGCCTTCGATAGACAATGAAAAAGAATTCCAAAATAACTAAAAGGAATGTGGAATAAAAACGTTTTCCAAGAAATATGTTGAATAAAAATCTATAGTTAAATAGTAACAACAACAAAAAATAAATGAATATTGTTATCGTTTTTGAAAATTTATTTTCACTTGTTTAATAATACTGTCAAGTCGATGAAGACCTTCTTCAGCATGTTTGATTGTTTTTTGCGTTGTACCACGAATACTCTAAACGAAATAAATAACAAACATTAGATATCAAGTATTGTACAAAGAAAGATTTATACAATTTTATTTAATGTCTCATAGTTTTACACGGCATATTTTCATCCTTTGCACTACGATCTTAAACACGATTAAGAATTTTCTTAATATAATCTAGACTTTTTTCAATTACGATTAACATATTTTGATGCGTAAGTTAATGTCGCTTACTTTTAAATTATTCGTTATTAAAAATGAGTCTTGTAACGTCGCATAATGTGGTTAGAAAGAGAAAAGTAGTCTTTGCAAATAGGAAATTATTAGGATCACATTTTCCACTTTGAGATATATCCGATCTACTGTTCCCGATTCAACAACGTAACTGTATAAAGAAAAAAGCAGAAGAGTTGTTAAAAATGTTTTCTGCTGATGAAAAAAATGTTTCCTTTCCTCTGTTCAGAATTCGAGAACAATATCAAAATAATTTTCAAAAGCAGAGGGGTTTTTGACACTGATTTTCATATTTTAAATTCGACTTGTTTGAAGTAAATAAATTTCGTTTTACAGCCGCTTTTTTCGTTACAGAAAAGCTTAAGCCAACTTGAACTGGTCCTTACTGCGCGTGACTCAGAGAAATTGTGACAATGAAATTTGTCTTTTCTCTGGTTAAGCGTCGGAACGATGATTAGTAAATGGATGGGTGATCGACACTGAGAATGAAATCACCGAATTATTTCATTAACGTCTGACGTATATATTCTCTACAGGAGTTGAGAGAAAAGTTACAGAGAATATTAAGGGCTACTTCAAGTTTCCAATGCTTGAGCTTTTCTGTAACGAGAAAAGCGGTTGCAAAACAAAATTTATTTGACTGTAAGACAGCCACAAACTTCCAGTATTTACGTCTCTTTCCGCCCGTTAGTTTTCAAACAAATCCCAAACGATCTGTGTGATATATTCAAAGAAATTGGCAATGTTTTGAAATTCGATTGAGAATTTAATTTTCTACAAAACTAGTTGACTTAGTTTTGGAAGCAGTCTTTCTTTTTATTTTAAATATTGTTTCCAGGTGCTTAATTTTAACCAGGTATACGATTTCGTGATAAATAACTATTTCAACTTACTTTGAGAACTTTGCTTGTTTTGTGAACACTACTAATTCCACCAATTTCATCTTCATCACGATCGACATCAGCAACAATATCTTCATGGTGCCCTGCTGTCGGGTGTCGTTGTGTGAAAGGTTCGTTGTTCTTATTATTATTGTTGTTATTCATTTGTGGAGATGAGTTTGATACTACTATTGATGTTCCTCCCCCACTGTTCGAACTAAAACCACCAGAACCTTTCAATTTTCTATAAACTAAATCTCTCAAATTTTCAAGTGGTGCCATTAAGTTACTGATATCGTCGCATAATTTATTATATAATTGTTTAATATTATCATATTTTTCAACACATTTTGATTTTGTTTCCATCCATTCATTATAATCCACATATGCTTGTATAATAATTGGATAACATTCATTTGTCGCAAATTCTTTATATTTATCATGTAATTCTTCTAGATTTTTACGTCGACGATAATGTGCATCAATTTGTAAACGATTATATGTACTCAAAAGACGATCACGTCGAAATGATTCATTTAACTCCTGTAATTTTCTAATATATGTTTCAATGGTATGTAACCATGACAAATAGCGTTTATTACGATGTGTTGACCAAAGTGTATTACTATACGGTTGAGGATCATCTGCTGATTGTTCAATAAAATCATTTTCAATTATTGACTCTATGTCATGCTCACATTTGACTAATTGTTCATACGGCTTTAAACATTGTCGTACATAGATTCGATATTGCTCTTGTATAATCGATGAAGTTCGACCTAATACATGAAAAAAGACAATAATATGCCGTCAAATAAATTTCTCTGTTTGCTGACATTCTTAATTTTATTTGAAATTACCTGACGAAACACTACTATCGTTTGACGATGTTGGTGACGCATTGTTGCACAATAAACCGGCAAAGCCAAGATGTCCACTTGATGGATTATTACTGTAATTAGTATTTCCATCATGTAAAACACGTGAAGTACATGGAGACCCACTTGTACTTCCACTTTGTTCATTAGCATTTTGATCAATTTGTTCGAGAATAAGTTTTAATTCATCAATTGATTTGAATACCATCAATTTTTCTCGTATTAAACATAAAAGTTCTAATAATTTAGATTTTAAATGTTGTTGAATAATTGTTGTTGAACATTGAGCAGTTTGCAATATATTCTGATATTCAATTAATTGATATTTGACATAAAAAAAGTTTCCAATAATATCTTTAGACCAATCGCATGCAGCTGCAACATCATTTAATTGTTTTATAGGTTTCACATCAGGAATAATCAATTTTGGAACATATTTATCATTTGATCGCTGTGAAGAAAACGTATAAAATACCAATGGATTCTCTTTCGACGCTGGTATGGGTAATTGTTCACAAAATATTTTAATTGCCATTGATTTTGTTTTTGGTAGTGGATAGTAAATATTTTGTATACAGCAGTAATATTCTCCATTATCATTATTATGTTTTTTTAATGCATCATACAATTGTGTAATTGATTGTGATGGTTCAAAATATGTACATGTTAAATCAAATGTTTTTAAATTTAAATAACATAATGGAACAGTATTTAATAAACGATCGGCTTCACGGAAAAAATCACCAAATTTCATTAATTTTGAACCATTTGATTCTAATAAACGTGGTAATAGAGCTTCTAAACGTTGTTTTAAACTTGGTGATAAACGACATGATGCTGGTAATGTTTTTGACCATTCAATTGCACCACCGGATGTATGTTGAATACCTAAAACAAAATAAAATAAATAAGTTTTTACAATAAGAAATAGATGTTGTGACATTACCAGATATAACTCCGTCTGGTTTTTGAACTAATATTTCTTTCATTGTTGCACGATCTTTTCGCGTACCATTAAATGGTGAGAAGGGCAATTCTCCACTAAAAAAGAAAAATAGATAAAAATTAGTATATTGACAATATTCAAAAGTCTTACGTAGCACATTGATAAAGTGTAACACCCAACGACCATAAATCAACTTCAAATGGAAATTCGGCAGATGCTCCATTATGTAGCGCACGAAGATACACGTCCGGATGTAAATATTCTTCCTAAATTATAAACGTTAATGAGACGTTAGTTTACATCAAGACAAGGTAAAAATGCCGATAGTAGGACACATCAACTAAATTAGAGTAAATAATGACCGTGTAAAAAATGACTTACTGTTCCCACCAATGATTTAAACGATGTTTCCCCGTGATTAACCAACATTTCACGTGCAACTCCCAAATCAGCCAGTTTGTAGGTTCGTTCACCATTAAGATTGATTGACAACATGATATTGTCGGGTTTTATATCGCGATGAATCTAGAAAAGCAAAAAAAAATCTTTCAATAGTTAAATCTCATCACAGATTCTTTTCAAAAAGCGAATAACGGCAGATAAGCGCCTTAAAAATCTAGTCCTTCTAAGTGAGGCGAATAAAAACAAAATAAACATTCTATTCAAAAATAGCAAAGAAAAAGTATTTTCTCAAAGCCATCCCAAACATGCAAATATAGCGTCGCAAATTTTCTCCGTAAGCATTATCTTACCACGATTGATGATCAATACTATCTTTAGTATTTATCTTCTCAATAAAACCTTTATAAGAGGGTTTAGAATACTGACTAGTAAATAATATAATAAAACTTGACTAAAAATGCTTACAATGTTTTTCTCATGTAAATATTTAAGACCATAAGTCAAATGTTTGAATAAAAGCATAAAGTCATCTTCGAGTAAACCATAACGATGTTCATTCATCTCTAAAACAAATACAATAAAATAAGGTAAAAATGTGCAGGTTTAAAATTAGTCACGTAGACATCCTAAAGCACGAAATAGTTACCTACCGAGTTGATTATGTAAACTTCCACCATTGCAGTATTCAATAAATAATGCTTCACGATTTGTTGGATTAGTTCTAGATGATGGTGCTGATGCGACTGATATTGTTGGATCAAAAACAACAGGTTCTAATGCTATATACCGTACAATATTTTCATGTAGAGCTTCTTTTAATATTTTTAATTCTTTATCTAATATCGGACGAAAATCTTTATCTCGTTGTGGATTAAACTTCGTTGTGTTCGACGGTGTAGCATAAACTTTCGCCGCTACCATATCACCCGTTTGTTTATTATACGCTTTGTACACTTGACTCGTTGCTCCATGCCCCAATAGATCCTGTACGGCCCAAAAATAATTTTGTGTTTCTTCAACACTCATATCTTGTCATCCAATTGTTGTTAATCAACAACAACAACAATAACAGTGCTGCAGCGGATTAGATAAAAACACCGTCAAAATAATACTGAAATAGTCAAAAGTAAATTGTTATTATTAAAACCTTCAGATATATTCCGACTTCTAATAGAATGAATTTGACGAGGAAAATGTGATTATTTTAAAATGCATGATCAGCTGCTAATATAGAAAGAAAATATGCTGCAGAAAACGTAAGAAATATTCCAATTTTTAATGAGTCTTCTGATTTATTTTTTGTCCTCAATAAAGTCTTGAATCACCACAAATCATATATATTTTCATCATATAAGTTTCGCACTCTCACTTCTATAAATGCAATCAGCTCCAGTTATTAATGTCTTTAAGATGAAAATAGAGTATAAAAGACTCTTTCAGAGATGAGCAAAATCCGGTGTTTTTCGGTCCGAGCCCAGTCTAGGTCCGAATCAGTTTCAGTCTGTTAATTCCATTCTTTTTCTTCTATTTTTTCATGAGCAAGATACTGTTTCTTTACACGGCTATAGTAACAAAAATCGAAAACAACAAAAAATTTTCTCAGTGTTAAAAAAGGAACGAGAGAGGAGTTTTTGTTTTCTTTTCTTACATATAAATGAAAAGAAAAGCCTAATCTATCAGAGAAAAGTTACATTTGCGTGAAGTAAGGCATGATAGGGGTTTTCTCGTCATTTTTGACCAATATGGTTGGACAACAAAACTAGATTGAGAGAATCGAAGCCGAAGTTTTTCGTTCTGTCTACATCAAAAATATCAAAAAGATAAAAGAATGAACAGATGTAAACTGAAAAATTCCAGTTATAAAGGTGAAAACCCAGTCCAAGTCCAGTCACAGTCCGTGTGAAAAAATTTAACGGTTCGGACTTGGACTTCTTTGTGAAAGTGTGAAAGTTTGATATTTTTATAAAAGAGGAAATATCTACACATCTGCTGAGCAAAAAACATAAGAACACGATAAATACTAGAATAAACAAGTGTACACAGCTAGAGATGTGTATATGTCAAAGAAAACTGCTACTATTCACAGGATTTAACTGTTATAGAATTTTTGCTAAGAGTTGAGTTAAGCATAAATAAAAGTAATGAACTAAGTAAGATTCTGCCCCTCAGAATGGACAGTATAGGAAACAGTAGGTACGAAAATCATTTTTCAAAGAAGAGAAAGAACTCACTTTGCTCTTGCTTGTCTCTCCAATCATTAACAAGTGTCGTTCAGTATTAGGTTCTCTTTTCAACAATAATAGAACTATATGTAAAAAATTTGTTTGCTCAAACATTATGGTCGAAATACTAGTGAGATAGTTTGCTGATAAAAAAAATTTAGTTATCATTTTTTCCCACTTTGTCGATTGGAAAATGGTAGAGAGCAGTCTAAATAATATTTCTATCGATATCCACACTTCGACATTCGAAACAGCGAGTGGGTCAAATGTTGCTGTTATGCGTCACCTTTTAACACAAATTCTTTTATTCTGTAAAGAAAACGT